GAGAATTTCTAAATCATACAAAAAAAGTATGATAATTACTGTGTCTAAATGATAAATACAAATATAAGAATTTTGAAAATCAAGAAGATGGATTTAAGAAGTGAGAAAGGAGAAAAGAGATTTGAACCTGAAACCTCTAATTTTTAGAGTTTTAACATTAATCACTAGATTGAGGCCTCTTTAACTCATCACCACATACTCTCTCCGTCCATTTTGATAGGTTTGATTTTTTCACACAATTTAAGAAAATTTAGTTAACTTTGTTAGAAGAATAAATCGAATTTACTATTGTTCTAAAATATCCTTATATTAAATGGGATATGACTAATTAGCTTTGCACTAAATAAGTTAAGTTATACTCAATAACATCTTATATCAAATAAGCGCATTTTAGAGAAACTACAACTTAACTATGATCTTCAATTAGAAGTGAAATATAGGTTGGAACAGATGAAAAAAGAAAATTAACCTATCAAAGTGGGATGGAGGGAGTATATTTGTATACTCTCTTCTTTTTTCTCATCTCCTATAATTCTACATTAAAGTATACTTAGTGGCTAGCTTCCGAGAAATGAGGAGCAAGGCTCCATAGACTTTACCGCATTTTCAACAAAATGCCTTTAGACATTAAACATCATCTTCATGGTTCTTCCCCTTTAGACAATTAAAGTAAAAGAAGATAAAAGATCCAAGATGCATCCAACTTGTCACTCAATGAAGTGTGGGAATCAAAGGGCGGTAATTAAATATTATCATAATGATTAGGGGAATCGCTCAGGCGAAGTAAAGAAGTTGATGAAATCAATTAACTGCTCAATATTCGAATATACTCCCACCGTCCCACTTTGATAGTCATGTTTTCCTTTTTCATCTGTCCCAAATTGTAGTCCACTTTCCAATTGAAGAATGTAGTTGTATTTTAATTTTTCTAAAATACCCTTATTCAATGTAAGTTGTTGTTACTATAAACCTACCACATTTAATGAGAGTTGAATCTTTTTTTACCATCAATTCAAGTTCCCATAAAGTTATACTCTATTTAATATGAGGATATTTTAGGAAAATAGCAATCTAAATTTACTTTTCCAACAAAGTTAACTACATTTTCTTAAACTGTGTGAAAAAAGAAATAGGATTATCAAAGTGGGACGGGGGAGTAGATTAAAAGCAGAAATAGATTAGTTTAAAAAAAGAGTTCACGGATTAGCATTCAAGTGGAAATGAAGAAATGAGTTAATGAAGTCAACTATTTGACAGTGCCAACTAAGCAGCCATTTAATTAACATGGCGTTAGAGCAAAAGTTGGACCATCGCAATGCCCACTTTTTTTAAGCAATGTTGGGCATTGCATATGATAGAACTTAGCTTCTTTTTTTTTTTTGCCCTGTCGTATTTTTAAAAATAAATGTAAAATTAATTAGAAGAAGAATAAGTACAAGAGAGGGTAGATAAGATTAAATAGGAAAAATATATAAATGCAAGGGATGAAAATAATTATTAGTATGTTCATATATATGGTAGGTTAGGTGAATTTCAGATGTACTAACGAATGTCCATAGAAAAATCTATTTTTTTTTCATTGTATCCACTTGATTTACACTTGTATTTAGGAGATTTATGTATCTTTTACCATAAATAGTGCAAATAATAAAATCACTGTAGTATTTTAATATAGGATTTTTTAACGAGTGTTCGGAGATATTTCATTACACATAATTTACCTTATAAATGCATATATTTATGTTTATTACTCACTTTATATGGAAAAAGTAAACAGCCATTAGCAAAACTCTTAGATATGTGTAACCTCCTTGCTTTGAGATGCTTTCTTTGATAAAATAGAGATTTCAAAGTACTTTTATTTATAGGTTTTTCTAATGGGATAATATTAGAAACCTCTCCTGAGACTTCTCTTACTATTACCCAGATCCCCTAAGATTTTAAAAATATCACTTACCTCCCCTACTTTTATTATTTGTGTAACAAATTTTTTAAAAACCCTAAAATACCCTTCTACTTGCTGAATAAAAATACTCTTAAATCACTTTGTTTACTTCAAGAAAATCATCATCTAAAAAATAATCGCTAGTAGTACTACTACACCATAATACTATAGTCCATAAAAATTTATATTTGAAAACTAAAAAAGATATTTGCAAAGAAATATACTTGACTAATTTAACTCTATATGCTCAAAACCAATTTCTTAAGAACTTTTAGGTTTTTTTCAACTTCTTCTTAGCCTATGCCTAAATCTTTAAATTGTATTGATCAATATAAAAATCAACACAAAATAAGCAAATAAACCATACCCCACATAACACAATTATAAAAGGTAAAAAATAAATAAAATTCAATTTATTATAATTTACAAACAAAAAATCGTATAGTCATCCAAAAAATTGGTAACATAGAATGTTGAAGAAAAGGGAAAGAAAAGAAAGTGACTTTTGTTTCCTTTTTTTTTTAATTTTTGAGCTCTATTTATTTGATATGTAAATTATGTATAAAGTGAAAGTTAATATAGTCTTTTTATAATTACTAGGGGGAGGTAAGTGATATTTTTAAAATTTTAGGATTGTCAAGTGATATTAGGAAAAATCTCAAAGAAAGTTTCTCATAGTATTCTTTTTCTAATTGGTGCTCATTGGGCACTCGTTAACACATTTAAAATTCATCTAACCCATTATTTATATATGCATACTAACAATTATTACTCTCCCTTGTATTTATATATTTTTTCTATTTAATTGTACCTTTCTTCCCTTATATTTATTTACTTTCTCTAATTAATCTTATATTTTTAAAAAATGACACTTGAAATATATTTTAACAGTAACTAATGGGCACCTGTTAGACACGCTCTTTATTTATTTATGTCGCAGATAAAGGTCATTCTTGCAAGATAAATCTTCATAATCTCACCTCCATTCTCTTGCTCCGGATTTATCCAATTACGAGCTTGACTTCACCGGAAATCAAAATATTTCTCCAAACAGATTCTAGAATTGGATTGCTCCTCAGTAAATTCGTCCCTTATAGCCTAGAGGTGCATGTGGCAATGACAACTAAACAATAAATTATTCAGTAAAGCTGCTACAGCAGAAAAAGTTATGTAATAAGATTATTGATAAAGTGATGCAGTGTCAAGTTAATTACCGGAAAGAAGTGTTAAGTAAGCCGATACAGATGTGGTCAAACTCTTTTAAGTAGTAGTAAACAACTTACTATGCCAAGAAAATGTTATTACTGAATTTATTGATTGTTTTAATAGAACGCGTGTGCTGACAGGTTAACCATTAATCAGGACATAATGCAATATTGAATTGGTCATCAAATTTAATGAGCACAAATGTCAGAAGCTGTTGGGAACAAAAAAATTGCACCACACCTGATCAATTTAGTACTGCTCAAGATCTATTGAAATTGAATAGGTGCAGCATTGGGATGAAAATCTTGGATGACAAATGGTTATTAAAGGTGAAAAAGAACCTAATGCCCTCTTAGAATTCAGCTGTAGATGAAGCGATAAGCTCTCAATCAAAGTAAAAACGTTTCCACTAACCGGTCCGAAGGAAAAAGAAAAGGAAACTAGGAAGGAAAACATGCCAGTAATGCTGAACAGCACCAGACGATGAAGAAGAAGTAGAAGAAGAAGAAGAAGAAAGACAAAAGGTTAAAAAGAGGAGAAAATTTCCAATATCTAATAAGTTGCTGAAAAAATAGCGAGGAAGTTACGGGAGTTTTAGTGCAGTGAATCAGACCTAAAAACGTGCGCGCCCATTCATGAACATGAACCTGAACCCTCCTCGACAAACTGATTACTCGACCTCACTTGTATGTTCTTTGCCCACCCCACCATTTACTGCTCACTCTGCATCCAACCAGCTAGCTGCTCATGCACGAAAACAAATGCACCCACGTACGCACGCACACACTCTACCCAGCGAGAGACAGAAGCATATATGTATGTAGTTAGCAGCTACAGCCTATAGGAGTTTATATGCATGCTTGACTTGGACAGTTGGACTGGTTGCTGGTCTAAAATTGCAATTACCACTAGTTGCCTGCCTCGAAAAGGAGCTAGTTCAGGGCAGTGCACGTGTAACCCCAATGCCCAATGCTCATTATTGTGTCTGAGTTTGCAGATTTTTTACTGCAAAAACTGCAGACTGGGGGAGTATAAACCCTAAAAGGGCCAAAAACAGTCAAACAAAGAAAATCAAGAAAGTTTCCAGCCCCATACCTCTGTGTTCCCTCCACACCATGCCACCAGCCCAGTTTGCACGTAGTAATCAAAGATGTCGCCGTGTATATCAATTTTCTTGAAAGTTGAAACCGTAACCGCCTAAAACTGAAGCTTTTACTTTCATCCCAGAAACGCCTATAACGTTAGTAAATGCTTCATCTACTACTTGCGTTTCTACTCTACTTACAGTAGCAAAAGGAAGGCTGTATAACCGTTACCATTTGGAGTACTAGAGATGATTTCATTGCTAGTGCAAACAAGGAATGGCTGATGCTTTGTGTTTGATCAGTACCTGCATTTAAAAGTCTACTAGGTTCTTAAGGGCAAGGTTTAAAGTCCACTTCTTCCTGTTTCCCCTTCTACCAAATGTAGAAGAGATGTAGATGAGAGAAGACCAGAAAGGATGGAGAAAGCCACGATGCGTTATGTACGAGTAAATGGGTGAAACAGGAAAAGTCAATAAGAGAACAGTGTGGATTTCTTAAAAGACGTTGTTTAAGGAACCTTTAATGGGTTGGTAGGGGTAGGGATGATTACTAAAATAGGAAACTTGCACAAACAACAATGGAAAAAAAATTAAAACAAGGTGCCTTTATTTTTTCTTTTGCAGGAAGTGAATGAATAATTATCAGACAAGTAACCAGAAGTACTGAAACAAGGAAGTGAGGGAGAGAGAAAAAAGAGGTTCTGCAGGAAGTTCTCCTCTTCTTACGCCTTCCACCAAAGGAAGAAGCAGCACCAGCAGCAAAACTTCAACAACTGTTCTAGAAATTAAAATAGAGAAGAACCCACAAAGAATTCATGAATTTGTACATCCCTCTTCCAAAAGAAAAAAAAAAGGCAATCTAATCATCATCAGATAATTAATTAACACCATAAACACAACTACCAGTAGGAGAAAAAAAGTAGGAGAAGAAGAATGCAAAATGATCGGATGATGGTCAAATCATGTGATCAAGATATTAAACCACAGAATTCCCGATATGTCAAAACGGAGGACGACCAGTTCCCCAGTAAGCGGCCTCAGCTGGTAATTGACACGAATTTAGGAGATTTGGAGGCATCCCATGAAAAAGGGATGAACTAGGATCAGGTAGAAGCTGTTGTGACTGTTGCGGCTGCTGTTGTCCAACAATTCCGGCCCCAGGCGATCCCAAAGGTCCACTACCCGGGGGAGGAACAGCCGCCGTTTCATCATCCTCTAATGGTAGTCTTTCATATGCAGCGTTACCAAATGATGCAGCCATGATCACAACCGGACCAGCCGCGAGTAGCGGCCCAACTACACTTCCACCAACTACTTGCCCCTGACCACCGGCTAAATATATAGTCAACCCAGAAGCCGCAGCTGGTGCTGGAGGGGGTAAGAATGAACCCGAAAGCGATAGGATTTCGAATCTTCCGTGTAAAGTCACGACTGCGCCCGGTGCAGCTGGCTGCCTGAGTGTAACATTATTAACGGTTCCGTTCCCACTCAAAATGCAAACCCCTCTTTGCCTTCTGGTCGCAAAATTTGATACACTCTCTTGGATGTCGCAGCCACTGGCAATTTCCATAACATGGGATCTGAGGGCATTTGCACTATCACGAGTGATGATGATAGGGGGTTTAGCCTTGTTCTTGGAACCGGCCGGCCTTCCTCTTGGTCTTCTTCTGACTTCGTCATGATTATTGTCTCCTCCGCCGCCGTTTCCAGCTGGGACGAGTTCTTTGTTCCCTTGATCACTTCCTCCAGTTCCATGGTGGGAGCCGGAGGTGGCGTTCATGGATGATATGGAACTGCAAGTAGGAATCATGAAACTCTCGTCTCGATCTCTTTTCTGGCTACCCCGGTTTGGGGTGCTACTACCGCTGTTTTCGTCCTCAGCCTTGTGGTGCTGATGGTGATGTTGTTGGAACTGATGAGGATGGTGCTGGAGCTGAAGATCCCTGGTATGAAAAGGTGGCGGAAGAGGTCGGCCGTGAGCTGTGAGCTGATCCATTTCTTGCAGGAACTGTTGTTTCGATGCTAATTAAGGGGTGCTGAGGATTTGGAACTGGAAGGTGCAATTTCTGCAAATATTTGCTAAGCTTACTTTTTTGGGACTCTATCTCTCTCTCTCTCTCTCTCTCTCTTTAAGTTTCTTGAAGAGGGAGGGGGAAGAGGGCCTGAATGAATTGAGATGATGCTATGCTAGTATGCTGCTACTAACCTTCACCTGAAAAGAGTTGGACGGGCGTGGGCATGGGTGTGGGCGTGGGAGCATCGCTTACCGAAGTTTGAGCTGAATCAACCATCTTTCAGATCTTCAAAATTTCATGTGATAACCACGCATAAAATTCAGGTAAGAGGGAGATGAGGAAGTTAGCGAGAGAGAGAGAGAGTGAGATGAAAGAGTTTGGGGAAAATAATGTTTTAAGGTTGGGAATATGGTAGCTAGGTGTTTGTTACTACAAACAAAGAAGTATCTACTGCTGGTAGCTAGCTAGTACTTTGTTTTGGGTTGCGAGGGGAACCTTTTTCACTTACCTTTTTTAGGGGAGAGAAGGGGTGAAGGAGTTTGGAGTTAGGGTTAGGTCAAGCCTCATTGGCAATCAGCAAAGCAGAAGGAGAGAGGGAGAGGAGATTGAATCAATGGACGGACGGATGGATGGATGGGGATCGAGTTTTGGTAGTATGACAGCGTGCGCATGGGCGGTGATGGGCCCCCCATTTCTCTCTCCTTTGTCCCTCACACGGGGGTCCCCCAGCACTCCACGTTCTCTCTCTCTTTCTCCCTTTCTCACACACAAAACTATACTGCGGCATCATTATTCACAATTCTCAAAACTCCCCAAACTCTAGTGCACGCACACACTCACTTTGCTATAGTTGCCAGCCAGCCAGCCAGAGAGAGAGAGAGAGGGATAAAAGCCCTTGATCATGAGTGCATAATCAAATCATCTTGTCCCATTATCCCATCTTCTACGTACGTTACAGCAGCAAAGCAAATAAAATGAAGAGAAGCTATATATATATATATATATATATATGCATGATCAGCTTCAGATTGTTTGGGATTGATCAAAATGACAAAAATGATAACCTCATCTATCTACGTCTGATTTTCTTCATATATATATATATATATATATATATACACACTATAGAGAGTCTTTCCTTAATTAATATGGGCAATCCTTGAGAAAGCATCATGCATGTTCATTGATGATCTGAGCTTGATCTCAGGCCTCATTTCTTGAACATGGCACTAGCTAGTAGCTGCTTGACTCAATCGGTCACTAGTTTTTGAGCTTTAGGAGACCTTAATTGATAATTATCCATTCTTCCTTTCGGTTGTTCTAGCTGTGATAAATTCAAGAAAAGCTAGTAGCGGACGAGATCTTACGTAGTACAAAGAGAAGATTTTTGTTGGGAGTTTCTGGGTGAGGAGTTGTAGCGCTAGCTAGACCAGAGATGCATGCATGAGCGTTACGGAAGTTTCCCGGATTTCCCGATTAATGCTAAGGTAAGGAAAGGAGAAAAGAAGGAAGATCGCGACGAAGAAAGGAGTTGACTGACAACTCCATGAAACGGTTCCTCCTACTTCACTTGTACTCTTTAATGCACCAAACTGGAAGGCAATTCTTGGAGAAGGGAGAGGAGGACGGGAGGGAAAACAGAACAAAACTGAAGCCCGCCCCAAGGAAAGGATCGATCGATCCATGGAATCATGGATTATGGAGTGGATTAGATCAATATTCATCATACACCATTGGTGTATGGTGTTTACACTTAATTTAACTTTGCCCTCAACTTTATTTGCTGCTGCTGACCCCATTGCTGATTGGGTCCTAGCTAGTCATTCCTTCCTACTTGGGTCCGTTTTCAATTCCCCATGACCCCACATGCAAGTTGAGTTATAATTCTTGTTTTCCATGTCAAGCTAAAACTTGCAAAAGAAACACGGAAAAAAATTGTAGATTAATCTTCCTTGCACTGGATGCTAGTGTATATACTATAACCATTGAATGTATGATAATTAATGTAAATTTAAATTTAAAGTCTAAATTTTACATATGTATCATGTATTCAACTGTGATAATGTATGTACTGACAACATATATAAGATTAATTCTAAAACTATTTATTTGTACATTCTTCGAAACTTACGTTCAGTTCTTCGAAACTTAAAAAAAATAATAATAAACTTACACACAATTCTAAACTATTAATTCTTCAAACCCTGATACAATTCTATGTAATTCCCTGATCACAAATTTTTTGAGCTATATCCATCCCTTATTTTTCACAACTCATGCACTTCATCAGACAAATAGCAACAAATTTGTATGTGTCTGTTGTCTCAAAATCACAACATCTCTGATGCTAAGGAAAAAAAAAACTGTTGTTATATATTATGTAGTACAAAGCACCAAAGTAGAAGATTTTGTAATGTATAAAAATATTTAAAAGTCAAGGAATATATAGATATATTCAAAACTTAAAAATGATTTTTCTGATTCTTAGAAGTATGTTAACGTTAAATCATATCGAGAATTCCCAGTGGGGACTAAGAAACATTTTTTTTAATTAAAATTGTATGCTACCATACACTATGGCAAGCAATCATGTCCTTCTGAATTGATGTTGTCACATAAACGTTTAATGTATAGGTGTAATCTCAACTAAATTGGGTCTACCAAATGTCTCTCAATCACTCATGGATATTTACTTTAGTACCAGGTCTGTAAGGGTCTGTTTGATAACATAAAAAAGTACTGAAATTGAATTTTTTCAGACATTCAGATATTTTTAGTGTTTGATAAATGAAAATCTATCTGCTGAACTTGTTAAGCAGTGCTGAACTTGTGTGTTTTTTTTTTCAGCATAAGAATCCTAACTGAATGCTTAATTCTGATAAGAATCAATAGAATTACTTCAACTACCTTATCTTATCTACCAAATCTATCCTTATTTGTTAATTATGTTCAAGATTCTTATCTAATTAAACAACCTAATATTCTCCATCTAACGGTTTTTAGTTTCTCTTTTCTCCCTTTTTAATGACTTTCACATCTTCTCGATACTTCTCATATAATATATTTCATCTTTTATATTAATTTGATTTAAAAATAAATATTGTCATTTTCATACCTAAAACAATTTTAAACTAATTAAATCATAGATTCTATTTCTTTTTTGAATGAAAGGATATAAGGGCAAAATTGTCAAATTAAACTTATTAAGCATCCAATTATAAATATTTATCAAACAGTATAAATAGGTTTAGCATTAAAATTCAGACATTCATATATTTTTTTCAGTGCTTAAAATTCAGCAAATTAATTGTTTCAGTTGTCAGATTTCAGAATTCAAACTTCAGAATTCAGATTCAATTTTATCAAACGGAACCTAAGTTTTTCCCTTCTATTAAATTCTACAATCTATGGAGCAAGAGGTTCCTCATGGGTCCACAAGGTGTTTGGTCCTTGGGAGATTGATGGAGTAAACTTCATCGTAACGTCTGTTTATCTTTTGACATCAACGACATGATCGAAAGTATCAAAAGAAAGACATCCAACTTTGGAAAATGACTCGAAATTAATATAACAGCAATATTCAGAAGTGTTGTCATCATTTGTCGTCGAAAGGCAGTAAATTAGTAAGGTAGCTTTCTTGGGCTAGACCCCGCGCCCGCTCTTCAATATCTAAAAGTTAACATTTGGAAGTAGGAAGACAGTAATAATTGTGTCCTTTAGAGTTGCAATTTAAATAAGAAAATGTGCACTTGCTATACAAATGATTTTATGAGTTTGCTGTTTCTTTCCGCTGGTAAGATCTTTTGTAATGTGAAACTTCAACTATCCCTTTAAAGTAGGGCTGCACACTAGTCAAGTTAGCTTATGAGCACACGCTAATCGGTTCGATCAAATCTCAATTTGAGCTTGAGTTGACTTGACTAATCAAGCAAGTCGAATATATAAATACTTGGCTCATCGGGCTAGATCGAGTTCATATATTTTTAATATTTTATATTTTTAGAGATAAAATTATATGTATGTCCCTATATTTTTATTATTAACTAGGATGAAATGCCTATTTTATCTATTTTAAAAGATAAAAAACAATGCTTTTATTTTTATTTGTGCTTGCGTGGTCTCAAATTTGAGATTGATTAAGCTCGAACTAGTGTTCACACTCGAGTTCAAGTTTTAGAATGAAAATTTGTTGAGTTTAAACTTGAATTTGAACCTAATAAAATTGAGTTGAGTTCGACTCGATTGGACTCGACTCATTTATACCCTATTTCAAAGTGTAGAAGGTGTTGGAACCAAAGACTGCACAATTATAGTTCTCACCATGAGATAGATCGGATTTCATCATGTTGTAACTAGATGTACCATGGCAATTATATATATCCGAAGTTTTATGCACATATAGAGGCATATAAGAAGGAAACCAGGTTTTGACATTTTTTTCCTTTGAAGGTTACATCAATCGTTATCAATGACAAATACAACTCAATTATTTTGTCTCACTCTAAGTGAGGTCAGACTCCCATATATTATATTAGAGAAAGGGGAAGATCAAAATTTGGACAAACATTTAGTACTCTTCTAATTATCTATTGAGAAGACTCGAGAAAAATAATTTGAAGCTAGAGAATCAGGTAATTATAACTAAATTTTGAACGATGATTAATTTCTCTATGTCCTATAATTAGGCAGTGCCTTCAAGTAGAAACTAACTCAATTGTTAGAGAAGAAAGTGAATTGTGTGCTGATAATAAAAGACACAATTGTTTCCCTTTAGAAACTGAGTGATTAAGTGGTGCCTTGCCGGTAGGGTTACGGTATTAGCGACTCATATGGGGCAGTGGCAGCGACGCAGCGGCAGCTGCAGGCTCTGACTGGAAGGTGTGGGAAGTTTCTTCCAGATTGTAAGGAAGGCTGCCTGGCTTCAACCCTTCACGTACGAGTGAAAGTGATATGATCTACAGCTTCATTAATTAGCTAGCCTGCTATTGTTACTACACTGTTGTCGTCTCTTGTGAAGTTCACATCCGGATGATCGATCGCCTCAACCGAAATGACTTTATTCTCGACAAAAATCGTCTTTTAGTACTCAAATTCATGCAAACCCCCCTATCCAGTCCCGTCATGCCAACTCATTTTTGTGAAGGCCGAACCAATTTTCATCTGCTCACCGCACCAATTCCTATTGTATTCCCCTTTAGTTTGCACGCACAGACTCATGACACAGTTAGTGCTTGTATGATGGGATGGTTCACATTACAAGTCTCGATCCGACGAAAGTGATTTCCATTGCAATCATAAGTTGATCATGACTGCAGGGACAAAAGAAAATGTAAAATCTCTCGTTTTGATCTTTTGTTTTGATGGAAGATCAACGAAATAGATTCAAGTCTTTCTGCTTAATTAGTTGTTCTACATGTAGAACCCAAAAAAATTAATCAAAAAACTATAGGAGATAAATTTCATAAAATCAATATGTACGGGAAGATAATTTACACATATAAAAATATGTGCAGTAGACGAGGAGTATATCAATAATGTAATATTAATAACATCATAAGAACAAACCTATCAAACTTTCACTCCCCTCAAGTTGACAACACTAAATAGAC